TCCTTTTGATTTTTGATTTGAGGGATTTGAGTTTCCAATTGATGTACTATAGCTGGTGGCATTTTTTGGGCGGGGACCAGGAATCTTTATTTAGGGGGGCCGTGAAAAAATATATTGTTCAACCGGCAAGTACTCCCCCCGGATTGTAGGGCTGATTAGGGGCCACTTGTTCAACAAGAGTATGTAAAGAACATACTTTTTGGGAGCTGATATTCTTTGGGGATTACCAAAGCTACATGACTGATATCATAGGAAGCACACTTTAGGGGAAACCTTTCAACGATTGTGTTTTTTACAACATTGATGAGGCTGGCGGGTGTGTGTGTGTGTGTGGGTGCGGGCGTGCGTGGGTGGCTGGCTGGCTGGCTGGCTGGCTGGCTGGCTGCCTGGCTGGGTGGCTGGGTGGGTGTGTATGTGTTGTTTTTTTTGTTTTGTTTTTCTTTTTGCGGGTGTGTTTGAATTCCCCGCCGAGAAACACATAACTTGATTTCGGGGGGTTAGTCAGTGCTGATCCACAACATAGCTTCATTCGGGGGAGGTTTGTTAATCGTAGGTCGAAATTTCAACGAGCTTGCTTGGAGGTAAATCAAGCTCACCCCTTGGTGAAGTTGCCTTACCAGGGATTCATTTTTCACAGATCATGTTCACAGGTCAATTCGTTCGAACCCCCTCCCGCCCAAGCGGTTTTGTTCGAAATGCTTTCGCCCTCAAACCTCACGCTCTCAGAATCTCAGAATGCATTTTCTTCCCCGGGGGCAAGGGTGCACACGACCTGTGTCGATCGCCTTCAGTTGGGTTCTGGGACACGTCTACATGTGCAGCCGAGATATGCTGAACAGTGGACACGCGACTGGTGCGGTGCCCGGCTCCAGTGGCCGGAACCGCGAACTGTTCATAAACAACAGCGAGGAGGGAGCGAGGGTACGACCAAGCGCCTGAGCTCAAGAAATGGCTGGACGCGGTGAGTGCCGGCAACAGCGGCGTGCTGAACAAGATGCGGACTGTTCCGAGGGTCAGGCCCCAGACGAGGCATCACCGTCACTGCTCTTTGTGGACAGCGACCGATGCAAACTTGCCCAAACAAGTGGGAAGCAGGTTTGTTGGTGCTTTGAACGGCAACCGTTTGTTGTGAGTGGTTATTTTACGGTAAGAGGGAGAGAGAGACAGAGAGAGAGAGAGAGAGAGAGACACGTAGAGAGAGAGAGAGAGTCAGCACGCAGTCTGCGCAAATTATAACGAGCTCACCCAGCAGTAAGGTCACTTACTTGGGGATCCATTATTTGCGGTCTTTGAGTCTCGTCAAAGAGGGGCCCTTCACTCTTTGGGGCCAACTAACCCGCATTCAGGTTTGATTCATCCAGGACTGAACCTCGGGCACAGTTGGGTGAAAGTAGACGGCACAGTTCTCCCATGTAACGTTCGGTTCCCACATAAAATAGAAATTGGTCCATACGTTGGTTTAGTCACCAACATCTACTTGCCTACAGAAAGGTCCATCTACTTTCGCTCTGGTGTACTTCAAGCGACACATGATTGCGGCCCAGGTTTTCCAAGCCACGAACACCTCGTCCTGGCAAGACGGCGCGAAGGCGGGTTGTGCGGTGTCAGTAAGGCTGCCTTGCAGGGAGATGGGCTATCTGAGTTAATTCTTGGAGATCTTTCTTCTCACTTTGGTTAAACATAGAGGTTCGCCACGTATTAACAATAATCAAATATGCATTACTGGTTGGGGGCACGAGCTGAGGTAGATGTTGCGTCTGACTTTACAACTAAGCTTTAAACAATTACATTGGGGCTTTTGCTTGCTGTTTTGCTTCAGTGGCGGTTGCATAGGGGGGTTTGGGTTTGTCTCCCTTGTTCCATTTATCTCCCGTTTGACTGCCCACTTGTCTCTGTGTTTGGACGGGCAGGCTGATTTGAAAGCCGCTGTTTGGCGGCAACGCTCGCATGTGTTGAAATTTCATATGCCAACAGGGATTCATTGTGGAAATACTTTGCATAATATTTCAGCAAGACTTCTCGCTAACTACAAATGAGATCGGCTGCCGGCAGTGGATGAAAAGACTTACCTCTGCCACACCTTCGTCTGATTTTTGGCTTATCCTGGTTATAGTTCCAGGGTCTAGTGACAACTTTGAATGGCGAAGATATGGCAGCTTGGCAAATCTGGACTTCGGAAAGCTCGCGAATTCTGCATAACCCGTGTGCTTTGAGAAAAGCAGAGTTAGCCAGCGGAGCACGGTAGGCGATTCCAAGGAGCAGGTGCTGCTTGACGACTGCCTCGCTACACTTGGCAGCCTGCGTTTGATAACACATGAATGAGGGTACTGGCTTTGCAATCCCTTGGGTGCGCAGAGCGAGTTGGCCAAGGAGAGGCCATTTGGTTGTGTTTTTCTTCCCAAAGCCGGTGGATTCAAGTGTCCCTTTGGTTTCCTGGTTCAACAGCTCTCAAAGATGTTCCCTAAACGAAACGACACACCCACGTTTCCGTAGAAATCTTTCTTCGCTTGTTCCGTTTCCACACATAGGGGCCCTCTTCCGTTCCTTCAGCCACTTTGTGCTGGGCATGCTTCGCCTGCGATGGAGGCCGGTCTCGCCGCGCCATGCCGGCAGCGCCGCTTTGGCACGACAGAACGCGGCTGGAGTTTTGGGCGGTGTTGCGACAGTCATACTCATGCACAAATCCCGCAGGGTTGCCCCTTTGGAACCTAGATGGCCAAGAAACTGACCATAGAGTGGGAAAACATGGGTCTCAAGGCATGCTGTCGAGTACAAAATCCGCACCACTTGGGATTTGCGGTTCAGCCAATAGGGCTTCGTCCGTCATTGGAGGCTCCAGTGGTGCCCTTTTTTCTAGGATTCCATGTGAGAACCATCAGACAGATACTTTTTAGGTGAGGGCTGTCAGATTGTCTTTCAGTTTTTCAAGAATACCAAAGGGGGCACCATGACAAGACAGGATTGCTGCGAGCGGCCGAAAGAAGAACGATGACCAGCATTTGTGGCCCCATTTTGCCCGGAAAACTGCACCCCACTCTGCCTCAAGGGCCATAGTATGAGAAACAGAGAGGAGTACTGGGTGGTTTTGGGTGGTTCCCAGGCGCGTTGGATGGTCACTCGGTGGTCCCATCCATACTCTTACACTGTTAGGTAGTCCAAGTTGAGAGGGTTAAAAATATATATGCGTGTACAAAGATGCATAGACATAATCACTATACATATACACATTTATGCATTATATTCCACTTTGAGGGACCCACGAAGCACCAAGGTGATATTGTGGGTTACTCATGGCACTGCAAATGAAAGCGACGCTAAAGGCAGCCAATTGCGCGCTTCCGAGGCAACACCTTCCACAACTGTGCCAGACTCACCCTCCGCACCCTTGCCTGAGCCTCAGCTCTCGATGAAGATGTGCTTTATATAAACACAAAAATCGGTTTGCATTATGGCTGCTTCTGTTTTGGAGGCAGGTCCCCGTGTTCAAAACACATGCAGGGCAAGGGCGATGTTCGCGCCAGAACTGAAGGTCTCAGACATGGAACCACATAAAAATCAAAGGAAAAGAGAGTTTCGCAGCGGAATCTAGTTTGGGGGACCTCCTCTTTCCCTGCCATGTTAATTTGCAAGGGGGGGGCTGCCCAAACGAGCTTATGGAAAATCAACAAACAACCCAGTGAAAGCGAGACCAAGACACGTGTCTACTTATATGTTCTTCGACATCCCATTTTGGGCCCCAAGGTCAGCTTTTCGGGTGATGAACCACGGGGAAGTGCAGGGAAGCCTCCTTCCGGCGCATGGCGTTGGCTTAGGCTCCGGCCCAACCTGGATGAGCTCGACTTTGCCCGAAGGGCGCGCGATTCAATCCATGCGTCCGTTTTGCTGGGGTCCTTATGTTCTGTTTTACGACGCGTTTCTGTTGAGCCTCGTGTTTCAAGGGGACATGTAAGGAGTTTGTAAAAAGGGATGTCATGTGTCCCTCCCCTTTTGGGGCTGCACATGCTAAAGGATTGGAAGCACGTGAGTTCAGCGTGATTGAACATTGACATGTCAGAGTGTGGGGTCGGCAGCATTTTGCACCAGTGCTAGGTGGCTTGGAAACATTCTGGATCATTCTGTTCCAACGGGGTTCCCCCCCCCCCCCGGCTCCTTTGAAACCCACTCCCCCCTCTCCCCCTCCTCCAAAAGGTTGTAGTGGGTCACAGCCTGAACATACGCAACCACGTATGTGTATATGTGTGTGTGTGTGTGGGTGTGTTTGCATGCGCGCTTGGCTTTCCTGCCGCTTGAAGGTTAGCGTCTCCGACGAAGCCAAAAGAGATCGCAGCCTTCCCGGGGTCCACAGATTTCAGACACCCATGGGCCCATAGTCCTGGTCTTCCCCTACTGCTCACAGGCCTGTCAAAGGCCCAGTGACTCGGCTGAAGCTTTGCATGTCCAAAAGGAGAGGCTTCACCCGATGTGCAACATCCACTAAGAATACGGTGCTGCTTAAATGGTGGGCTGGAGGTTGGGAGCTCTCGTTCTCTGATTGATGTTCTTGGCGTCCCTGTTGCATTTTTTTGAACAATATTATTAACAAATCGCCTTCTCTCGTTTTGAGCCTGAATCTGTTAGTGTCTTTTAGGCGAGAGGCCGTGAATCTGGCGAATAATGGTAGCTGGTAGCAGGTCGATCATGACGATCCTTGTGAAGTGCAGACTGTGGAGATAGAGATGGACACCGACCATGCCAAAGGAACAGACAAAGTGGCTTGGGTTGCTTTCACCGCGTCGTTTTTTTCCACACGACTCCTTTGACCCGACTTTGGCTACTTCGATTGGGTGTAGTAGGTGACAGCTGCATGACTAATCATTAGGGCTCCCCCCACCCATTGCACTGATTTTTAGAACCCTTCGAAGAACTTTGTCTAAGAATCTTCTAGGAGCCTCAAGCCTGGGTTGCGGGGGCGAGGCCTTCTGTTGTTTGCCTGAGCCAACCGCGAAGCGCAGGCTTCGATCCCAGTGCTGGCGCCAATGGATAAGAGCACGAGGACGATGCGTCCGACAGGGTTCCTGAGCGAGGTCTTCTCAGCGACCTGCACCACGGGACTTCGCTTCGGTTCTGCCCACCGAAAGGGTTCCAACTTGTTGGTCACAGAGGGGATCTTCACGACAAGCTGAGTCGTAGGGATTTCGCGCTTCACGGGGAAAGAGTCGTGCTCGACTTTAGGAGGAGTGGCTACAATGGTACGTGAATGCCGTGGTGCCGAAGTGGGGTCGCCTTTCGTTCCATCAGATTCAGACGCATCGACCATGAGGGACTGACACTTGTTGCTTTCCTACCGAAGGTCGACCGGCAGGGAACTGGTTGGCTGGTTGGAATGGCACAGCGAAACAAAAGCCAGAGAAACATCTGAAAAGATAGCTCCCCAAAATCCCACGACACAATGCACATAAAGGCGAATCAGTGACACTGACGGGGTGACGGGGGGCCCTGGCAGTAAATCATGGGGGATCCCACCAGGTGCAGAATTGTTGTGGAGCCGGTGTTTGTCCGGGCTTTGAGGCCCTGTGAGAAAGCCCAGTGTTCCTGCCGGAGTTGGCTAACTCACCGAACAGTTGGCAATTTCCACAGTCAAGGCAGGCAAACGGTTTTGTCACTGCTTCATGAGTTGGGACTTGGTCCTTTTTCAACTTCTGTGTTCCCTTTGCTTTTCCCCAGCTAAACAGTTTTTCTCCATGGGACCTGACAAGGGGTCCCTTTAAAAGGAAGCCGATCTTCCAGGAGCCTCCAAGTGAATTGGTGGGAGAATGCCGCGTTTCAGTGAGTCACTTCCTTCCAGGACGCCGAGGTCGCCGAGATCCGCCAGCGCCGGTCTGGCCCGCGCCAGGGGTCTAAGTGGGTCGTCAGACAACAAGGCCAGAATGCGATGGTCTTGGAAAAGGGTCCTAACAGTCCTAACACCAGACACATGAGATGGCCTTTGAAAACAAGGTGTCCCCGACAGGTTGCAGGTGGGGTTTTGGAGGGAGAGGGCTCCCCACAATGCCCCACCCCCAAAGCAAGGCCTTAAACTTTAAACAGGGGAGGGTGAGGTAAGGGTGGGAAATTGTTGGGTCTTCTTTGGGGAGAAGGGGGGCCGCTTTTCCAGTCTCGCGCTCACCGCTTTGCCGCCCTTTGAACAAGGAAGCTAGCTTTCCGTCGTCCATCAATAGCCGCTCACTCCAGCCAACCCCGGCTACCCCCAACTGTTTTGCCGCAGCTACACTGCCAGCTACAGAATTGTGGAAAGTATTAGCAGTTGTTGTTGTCGTGTTCTGATTTTTGTGGGAGGGACGAGGGTGATATCACAGAAAGGGCAATCTTTCAAACCTGCCAGCTTGCTGGCTCGGTGTTGGCCGGGGTTTGGCGTCTAGCAAATTGGCCGCCGCATGTCTGGAACTCGTTTGGTTGCCGAGTTCCCACATCTTTGTGCTTGACTTTTTTGACATGTTGGTTGCAAGTTCAAAGTGAGCTTGCTTTAAGAGGACCGACTTGGCACTTTAGAAATAAAGGGGTCTGTGGAGGGCGTCGGGTGAGTGAATGTCATGATTTTGCCCCCGACTTCGTTGCTCAGATTTTGGGGCTTTCTTGGGAACACATCGGTCCCAGGCACCTGGTGAAAGGAAAGGCGGAATTTTCTTAGTGATTTGCAGCGAGGTGCAGAGCCAGGTGGTGAAGAAAAGCAGCGAAGAGGCGGGTCCTTTACGCCCAGCGGGGCGTGGAACTGCGCGGGTCGCGCGTGCGATTTGGCAGGTGGGAGGGTGACAGGGTCACTTCAGCACATTTTGAGGACTATAAGGCGATGCTTTAGCTACCCACCCATCCAGCCAAGGAGCCTGGCGCCAGGTCCTGGGTTCGATATGTTCCTTAAAACCAAAACGGCCAGTTTGGTAGGTTCCCTGCAAGTTGATGAGAGGGTAATTCACCAAACTTACGGCAAATAGGGCGCTCGAAGTCGGGCTTCTTAGAGAAGGCCTGGACCCTTCAGATGTTACATGGTGTCCGTGGTAAAAGGGCTCATAACTTCGGTACTTCGAAGGGGGGATGCTACTGGCCAACTTTTAGTCTTGTCAAAGTCAGAGTTGGCCAACCACGACCCCGAAACCACTACCCTTGTGGGGAACGGGGGCGGGGGGTGGTAGTTGTCAAGTGACTTTGGAGAATGCGGGGTGCGACATGTCTTTTTTCGGGCCCCCTTCCAAATCCCCAAGATATGTCAGAAACTGATTCGCCTTTTCCTGAAGCCACAGGAAGCCTCGGAGCGCCAACATGAATGTGTCGAGGGTCCCCTTTTCTGGATGCGGCAGGGAAACCAGCTGGACCCCGAATCCCATTTCGTGGTTTTCCGATTAGATTTGCATTAGGATATCGACTCCTTGGCTGAAGTGCATCAATACTCGGACCCTGTGGGCCAGAAAAGGTAAAAGCATGACCATGAGAATTTTCAAAGGGAACAATGACCATAATCCAAAGGTCCAAATGGTGTGTGCACCCAATGGGGTAAGTGCGGAAAGGGGGAAGATTGCGTGAACCCGGGCCAGGCTTCAATGTCAGGCACTCGGAGAGAGGCTGTCGCCTTTCTTTTCTTTTTCCGGGGCGCTGCGATGTGGAACTTGTTGGCTTACTGGGGCTTTTGTTGAAGTTTGGTGTACATGTAAGGTTGACAAAATATGGACCAGAGTCTTATTTTCGCTTAGTCCACAAGCTGAGGTAGTTTTGGACCATGGTGCGACGTGTCCGGGCCTTTCTGGGCTCAATAGCTTATACTTGATTGCGCTTTTGTTCGGCCTTTGAAGGCTGTGCAAGCTTTCCAAAAGCAAGGACAACAAAGTAATCTTCATAAGCCAGCAACCAGTAACAAATGTAACTTGTTGCCAGGAGGCCAAGACCCAGCCATAGATGTCCGCTAAATCCCCTTTGTACCCGGCTTTCACCATGTACACCCCGCTTTCATAGAAGCCAGCGACCGAATTTCTATCGACACGATGTTTGGCAAATGTGAAGACATGCCCAACCGTGGCCAACATCATTGTCAACATTCTTGGCTTGAGGGAGCCCCACGAAAACTCCCTTCCCCAGCTGGACACCCCTGAGGGAATTTCGAGACCTCAAATCCCCGGACAAACATGGGACCTTGGAACACCAGTGGAGCTCCTCGGCCCCTGGGCCTCGGCCGCATCTCGCTTCGCCGAGGCCCAAGCAGCCCCAGTGGAGGCCGGGAGGAGCCGCCGCCAAGGCGGACGGATCGGGGGATCCGGAGCCGGAGGGCGTTGGAAGCTTTTGGTGTTGCATCTGGGGTAGACTTAGAATACATTTTACATCTTACCAGTGGCTCAAAGAGATACAAAACATAGAATATACATTCTAGAACTGGACCTAAGTCTAAACATGGCATGTGTTCATGTCCTGTTCGCATCCCAAATCGTTTGATTTCCAGGTTGGAGCAGAGACTGTGGTTGTACGGAGGGGAACGCTTTGTGAAAAACCGGGGCTTTAAGATTGCCGCTTTCTGTAAGTAGCCCAGGGTGAGCCGTCAGTTTCCCTGACGAACAAACAGAGGTCGCCAGAGTATGCCCAGACTCTAACACATGACATAGCCTCGAAGCATTTGGGTACAGGCAAAGATTCCTCAGGGTGTCCTTTTCTTGTGGATTTCCAAACGCGAACTTCCCTTAAAAGCCACCAGCAGATTGATTCAAAGGCAAAGTCGGGATCCATGACACATGTTGGATCACCCGGCGTGGTTTTCGATGTCAGGAGCTCGGCGAGCCCCGCCCGAAGGCCTACTGTACTTTGGGCCATGAAGTGTTCATTCGAAAGGAACATCTAATAGTCCCTTCACAACTTCCTGGTAAATTCGGTCACCCCTCCCTGATTTTTGGCATTCTGGGATGCAACCATTTATGCAAGTCAGAAACTGGACCCCTGGTATTTCCATTAGACCTACGGCGTCTTTGGTGAACTAATCCTCCGCATCGTAAGCAGCTTCCCTTTCTTCTTTCAATTGGGGTTGCTTTGGGCCTCCAAGATGACCAAAGCACAGGAGTGGAACAAATGTGTTTAGTTTTGCGTGGTTGCTTTTCTGTCATGAAGGACCAACAATTCTTTGCTCTGGGGTTTGTGGAGCAGTTCTGACTGGCCCTCATAATTCTTGATTTTCCTCGGGCATTAGTCGAAAGTGCCTGCCGATGTTACGGCGAGCTCACCTGGGGATAAAGCGAGGTCACCAGAATCTTTGCCCTCTACTCGGAGAAATTATTCATGTTATTTAGCTGTTAGACTTATAGGAATCGTCCGATGTTTACAGACATCACCCGATGTTTGTAGAAATCACGTGATGTTTGTCGACACACGCCCGACTTTTGGTAGAAATCGGGCCCAACATTTTCTGGACCATAATTTTCAAGTCCTTTCACTTGAGCCCCTAAAGACCCTCGTGTCAGGCATCGCCTTCGCCGAAGCCGAGATCCTCGTTGACCTCCAGAAGCTCCACGGCACCTCGATCCCATTGGCACGCCGTTTGCGCGTGTCAACATGGGCGGCTCATCTTGTTTTTAGGGTTGGTACTACCCCCCGTTTTTGTTGGTTTCCACAGGGAAGACCAGGGAACACCACATGTTTTTTTTTTTTGGGGGGGGGGTCTCCTAAAATGTGTCAAAGCTTTGCAGCTATTTGGACTGCCAGACTTCTGGACGGCCGTTGAAGTAGACTCCAATGAAAGTCTTCCGAAATTGCTGCCCCTGTTTGTATTCATTGGGTTTTACACTACCCCCCCCAACACTCCCCCCCCACTGAAATAGGCTGTGAGATTCGCATTTTGGACCAATCCAGTCTTGCAGGCAAGCTGTGAGAAACAAGGCTTATTTGAGGTTTGGGGTCCGCCTCACTGATAATCTTAGAGCTCCGACAAACTGAATAGTTTGCGACGCACCGATCCGATTTCGACCAGTCCATTTGGTGGCTTCCGGGGTTGGTTTTTTGCTCACGGGACAGCCAAATCCTTATTTAGAGATTTAGAGCTTATCTTGACCTTATTTTTCAACTCCGCGTCTGCCAAATCCTTATTTAGAGCTTATTTTGACCTTATTTTCAACTCCGAGTCTGCCAAATCCTTATTTAGTGCTTATTTGGAGCTTATTTTGACCTTATTTTTCAACTCCGCGTCTGCCAAATCCTTATTTAGAGCTTATTTAGAGCTTATTTTTGCCTTATTTTTCAACTCCGCGTCTGCCAAATCCTTATTTAGAGCTTATTTTGACCTTATTTTCAACTCCGAGTCTGCCAAATCCTTATTTAGAGCTTATTTGGAGCTTATTTTGACCTTATTTTTCAACTCCGCGTCTGCCAAATCCTTATTTAGAGCTTATTTAGAGCTTATTTTGACCTTATTTTGAACTCCGCGTCTGCCAAATCCTTATTTAGAGCTTATTTTGACCTTATTTTCAACTCCGAGTCTGCCAAATCCTTATTTAGAGCTTATTTGGAGCTTATTTTGACCTTATTTTTCAACTCCGCGTTTGCCAAATCCTTATTTAGAGCTTATTTAGAGCTTATGTTTGCCTTATTTTTCAACTCCGCGTCTGCCAAATCCTTATTTAGTGCTTATTTGGAGCTTATTTTGACCTTATTTTTCAACTCCGTGTCTGCCAAATCCTTCTTTAGATCTTATTTAAAGCTTATTTTGACCTTATTTTTCAACTCCGCGTCCACTTGGCAGCTTCCGGGTGGTTTGCTCCACGCCATGGAGCAACCTTTGTAGCCTGCCACCTTGCCTGGCAGCCATCAGAAGCCAAGAAAATGGCAATCACAGCCTGTGAGGTTCGAAGAAACTGTGTTCTGACATCACTGGCCACCACAGACATGGCACTAATCAGCTGCGCTAGGTTCAGAAAAATAGACTTCATCAGGTCGGCTTGCTCAAAAAACTGTGCAACACAGCTGTTGCCAAACAACCCTTATTTAGGGTCTATTTGTTTTTTCACCACTTGGGCCCCCGAAAATAAGGCTTGATTAAGCCTTGTTTTGTATGTATTGGAAATAAGGCCTAAATAAGCCTTATTCGTGGGCTATTTCGACACTGGGCATGTGCAATTTTCTTGTCCCAGTGGGGGGGGGGAGTGTTGGGGGGGGGGTAGTGTAAAACCCCATGATGTATGGCTATTTGATCACGGATCTTCGGACTTTAACTTGTTGGGAAGTGGATTTCCCCTATCGGACCTACAAAAAGAACAAGTCTTTTGCAGAGGGGTCAACGGCAAACAAAATAGGGGAAACTGGGCTGAGGGCATACTCCTTCCTGGAGTCTCCCAAACTTCTTATGGGTGTGTCTTTCGTAGGGCCCCCCAAAACAATAAATAAATGTATGGCTTCCTTTCGGCTTCCCTTCCAACCAAACAGCAAAAAGGCAAACAAAAATTGGTTTGGCTTGGTGGTTTCCCTTTAAACCCCATACCGAGCCCGAAGAGCACGCAAACAGGGCGTTCGGGTCATTTTTTTGTGACGCCAACAGAGCTCCCTTTAAAGCGATATGTGATGAAGTACTCATGGCGATGACCGGTATTAGTATTGCAGAATGGCAGATTTTCCATAATACCTCCCCTCGTTGACAGAGAAATGATGGGCGACCACGGAGCATATTCTTTATGGCTTGGCCTTTTGCCGGGGTATTGATGAGAGCCTGGGTTTCTACCCACCCAGTCAGACCGGGGGCATATGACCGGCAGGATCCGGCAGGGTTGCTAGGCTGTCTTACAGATGATCAAAACGCGAGAGCAGAAAACTCGCATCGGCCTCCAGGCGATCTTTGGAGCAAGCCCAGTATTTGCGACTTTGCAAGGGTTGTACTTCTGTTATCGAAACCAGCTTACAGGGGTTTCCGAATCTAATTTTTGCCTGATGAATTTCCAGAAGCTGTTCTAAAACAATGGGCCCGATAAAGGCCGTAGGGCATAGTGGCCTGTGCAGATCCATTGCAATGGACGCTTGAGAGCATGATTCTCAAACACGTTTCTCTAGATTACTTCATGGTTGCTGTTGGGAAACATTTTGCATTTTTGCTTATTGTGGTTTCGTGGGAAATCCCCACTCAACTGCTAACATTTAAATTGTTGCTTCCCTTCCAACGTCAACCAAGACTTCCGCTTGCCTGGAACTCTGCACATTTGTTCATTGAACCTGCAAAGGATCAGAGGGACAACTTGTTGGGTTTAAGGCTTGGGCTACAGTGCGAGCGCTGTATAAGGAATTGGTTTTCGAGGCCCAGGGGCGCGGAATTTCTTAGCGTCCATTTCGTCTTTAACAGAACTGGTGTCTACCGCTCTGGAGCCAGGGGGGCTGGATTTCTTAGCCAATCTTTTTGAAGAGGGATTTCTTAGCAAAGGAGCCCTTCATCGCCCGAAAAGGAGGCTAAGAAATCCAGCCCCTGGATGTCTTGCCAAGGAGCCCTTCATCGCCCGAAAAGGCCGCTAAGAAATCCAGCCCCTGGATTTCTTAGCCCTGGATTTCTTAGCAAAGGAGCGCTTCATCGCCCGAAATGCTTCATCGTCCGAAAAGGCCACTCAGAAATCCAAAACCCAGCTGGTGTAGAGGTGCCACGCCCGCACCTCAGAAACCAGGAGTCATTGGCTCAATTCTTGGAGTGCGGAGGTGGTTTTCTTCCTCGCGCAGGCAACAAGTTGGCTAAGAAATTGGGCAAAAAATCCAGGGGGCTCAATTTCTTAGCAGCAAATGCAGTTGCAACCTGCCTGATTTTGGAATCTCAGCCCTCAATTTCTTGTGCAACGATTTCTTCTACAGTGCTTGCACTGTATCTTTTTGTTACTCCCCAGCTGGAAGTTTTGTGTTTTTAATTCTCAGATAGGCTAGTTGGGGATGCGGCTGAGCAAGTACTTGTTGCGAGAGATGCAGGGAATGAGAGAAATGGAAGGACCCCTAAAAACCATGCCTTGTGGTTTCCTTTACTTACCTCTTAAAAAACACAACTTTTCAACTTTTTGGGTAACATGGGCTATATGATATGTCTGTAAAAGATTAACTTCCCCAGGGCTTGGAGTTTTAAGGGGTAAGTTTAAGGGAATCCCGAGGTTGATTCCCAATTCCTGGGTCATTCATTCCCTATTGAGCACCAGCAAGATGATGCAAAGGTAAGGTTTACTCCAGCTCTCAATGGTCTAGGGCTTAGTAGAAACCCTCTAGAGCGGTGATTGCAGTTTTTGTTTGTTGGCTTGCATATAATGATGGATCCCACCGATTCAATCCAATGGAAGCCACTCCAACGCTTCGCGCCAACAAGTTTCTCACTCTTGTGTTGTTAGCTCTTTGTTTTCAGGGTTCTCTTTATGCTTTGGCCCAGCTCCGCTCAGGAAGCGCACGTCATACCATACTGCCAGGGGCCAAGCACTTGCAAGAATGGATGGTTGCAACACCCCCCATTAAAAGAAAAAAAGTACCTTGAGGGCAGAACAGGATATGTACGCCGTCTATGGGGGGGTTGGAACATCCCCAACAGGTCACTTGAATATGTTGACTGGTGGAACTTGATTTTGACTTTCATTCTCCTTTTTTTGGAGAAGACCCCCATCGTCCTGGATTTGGATACCATGGTTTCACCTGGATTTGAAAGTGTTGGTTAGCGAAGGCGTGGGGAAGGCTGGTTTCAACCAGCTCCACAAATCCCAAGACACCTTCAGGTACCCCATCAGGACCTCTAGCCCTCAGCTCAGGTGGGTGCCTTTCCCCTCACATACGAGCCTTTAATGTTGGGTTTGCTTAACCCACCCTGGAAGAGCTCCTATGAACCTGGGCCCATGGATTTTGATTGCTTCCAGATGAACAAAGTCAGAAAATGAGGCCATGTCCCTTGGATTAGAGAGTGAATATAGTTCACCCAGGTTCATGTGTTTGGCAAACCTGCTTCATCAACTTGGGGCAGAAGGACAAAGCGGGATTGCTCAAACGGCTTTGTAGGTGGCCCCCTCTAGCGGAAGGTGCACCACGGAGCCCCATGCGGTCCATGAGCTTAGACACGAGCCACGAGTTGGCCACCGCGGGTTTCAAGGCCAAAACAGAGAAAATCGATTGCTCTACCGCTGCTTGATGCTCGACCGGCTATGCCACGGGAATGCACGGACGCTTGTTCATCTTTGCTGGGGTCTGCAAAGAACACTGACACATGGAAGCCAGCAGCTACAGGAAGTTGAGGGTTGTCGAACCGCCTTTCAATAGAAGGAGCAAAACAGCACTAGCAGTAACATGACTCACGAATCATTCATGGCTTGTCTTGATTTGGATGCAATTCCCCTGCATCCCCATTCTATCAACTGAGGCCCTGAAAGCAGCCCAAGGGTTCAATGGGATATATATATATATATATACATACATATTGACAGCCACGAGAGGGTGTGTGTCACGTTTGCTCCTGGCAGCTTGGACGAACCCGCCCAAAGTTGGCGCCAAGAAGAAAGCACCTCAAACAACGACACACCCACCTAGGCGCAGAATTCCAGGACGTCTTCAACTTCACGGCGCAGCTTTGCCGGTGAGCGGATCGATTGGCCAGCCCGGCGCCCAATTTCTGCCCTTTTTTACCGCGCATGAACTCCGATGACCCCGGAGGTCAAAACATCCGTCAAATGGGGGGTTGCTGTTGGTTTGTTCTTGTGTTGTGTGTGTGTGCTTTGTGCTCTTATATGCTTGTTTGGTGTTCCTGCCCAGATATAGTTGTGCAACGCGAACTCACATGTTGCAGTTAAGACAAAAGCAGATGGCGCACTCCCCCAATGTCGCTTTCACCATCCCCCTTACTTTTGCCGTGGTGTTCCCTGTGGGTTTCCATGTCAAACCAATTTTCAAGGTAGAAAGGTTAGCTTCTCCTTCATGATCCTGTGGGGTGACTCCCTTTCTCAAGTCGAACTACCCACAGACGAAGCACCTTTCGAAGAAAGGAAAGCCTTTTCAGGGCAGTGATTCTCACGTGACGAGGTAGCATTTAGGTGGATCCTGGTTGCGACCAGATTCCTCTTGTTCAAGCCCTCTTTTTGGAGTCCTCCTGCCCCGGCCCTTTGGCCGAAAGGTGGGCACTCACATGCCCACCGCTCAGGTGGCTGTGATTGGAAGCAAGGCCCCTTCGCCTTTTTGCTGCTTTCCGCACTCAACTTTGGACATCCCACGGTCACTTTGAAAACGATACTAGTTGAATAGAGCAAGGCAACCCGTACTGAAAGGAGCACAGGGAAGCCTGGGAAGGAACAATGATCTCCAGAAGGTCAACTAGTGCCCGTGTTGGGGTGATTTTGGCATTCCCGCGGCTCTCCCTTGGCTGCTGTCGGTTCGGGGTGTAGGCCAACTCTTAGACAAGTTGGTGTGTGGTTGACCGGGATGCTCTTGCCAGTGCTCACCCAAGGGTCAAGTGCAACACATGGCTTCCGCGGGTGCTCTGAAATTTGCGAAAGCAGAGAGCGGTCAATTTGTAGGGTGGCTTCCCTGGGCATTGCAAGAACACCCCGCAAGCAGCGCTAAGTTGCAGGGTTTTCCTTGCTCCCTACTTGCAATGTTAAGGGAATCAACCGTGCAGCGTCTCACCCGCCAATCTCCGGCCGTGGATGGCCAATCCTTGAATTGGATTTGGAGATGGGGCTGGCAGCTGCCATTCTTGATCCAGTTGCTCACGAAATTCCACCCTTAATACGCGAAAATACGCGTTTGTCTAGAAGATTCCCGGCTCACAATGGAATCAACCTCACAAATTGGTTCGGGCCTTGTCGGGTTGCAGCTGGATTGAGGGTAGCTGGGTTTGAAGTGAAGCGGCCTTCTCCAGCGCAGAGCGGGCACTCTTGCCGGAATGGCACGCAGTGCCCATGCTACGCTTGCTTTCTTCCGTTTCCAGCTGTTTCGTTCTACTTCCCAATCATTCCCGACATGGCATAAGGCATAAGATGGCGTTTCCCATGTTTCCAGGGTTCAAGGCTGCCCTGACTAATAGAAGTGTTGCTGTTCTTACTAAAGGGTTGGTTGTTTGGCCGGTCCAATGCTTAATGGTCCTCGGTAATAGCTTCTATTCCCTGGCTTGTTTGGGCCTTTTTCATGGAGGAGACCCACACACGATCCAGACATTCACAGAAACCATGGCGTTTTTTGTTCTTGGAGGTTCCAGGAGCAGCGGCAGTCTTCAGGAAGGTACTGCTTGTTCGCTTTTTCGGAAAGCAACCAATGAATTGAAGTTCACATTTGTTCGGTAGTGTGCTGTGAATTTGGGAAGACTCGGGGGGAGGCCTTTTCTAAATTCCTTGCGAGACTGGGAAGCTGTACCTGTGCATATTTTAACTCCTTTTTTTTAGCCACGGCTCTGGGCAGTTGTAACGAGCTGTGGGGGTAAAAGCGAATGATCAAGAACCAATTTCTTGCTTCGCGCCTTGGAGATCCCAAAGTGCCATCCCAATTGTCGCAAGCTCAGATTGAATCGGTTCATAGAGGTCACATGGAACTTTGGCGCATTTTGCCAAGGGATGCTAGGACTTTAACTTTTTTCCAACTCATGGGTTTTCCGAATTAATCCACTAAAACGTTAAACTTTCAGCTGAGCAGATTTCGCAACCGAGAGAAGGTGAGGGGGTCGTGTCACTTTCGGCTCAGAGACCTCGCAGCTGTCCGAAAATGCGCCGCAACTTGGCTTCCGCGGGAAGGCCATGCCTTGGATGCCTTTGGGGTGGAGGGCTGTCAAGCTCATAGCTTCACTGTTGGTGTGGTTGTTGCTTTTCGGCTGGGGTTGTAGCAGGCCCTCAATCTCAGCGGTTCAAGAGCAATCCTTGATCCTTATGCCAGATGGCAGTGGATGTCTTTGTCGTACTGGCGTCGCGCTACGGCTTCCATTTGGAACAGCCAGGATCTCGTGTTTTCTAGTTCGCGTTTACCCTATGTTCATTTTTTAAATGGGCCGCGGGGTCGGGAGGACGAGATGACAGAATGGGCGCCTGAGCGCAGCTTGCAGCGCTTTCTCCTATGGGCAGCTGTCCTTTGAACTTCCAACCACTGGCTCGTCCTGGCTCTCCTGGTATGTACCTAGAGTCTCCATGACCCTTTACAAATGGGGTCATTACCCTAAATAATGGGGTCATGGAACTATTTTTAAAGGGTCATGGAGACTCCAGGTATACATACATTTGTACAGCTGGGGCGCAAATCATTTGGCCCCATGCTTCTGACAGTGCGAACGAAATCGGCAGATCATTGTCTTGCAAAAAGTGAGCATCGTGTCAGTTTGTGGTTTCCTTCTTGAGACAAACCGCAATTACTGCTTCACTTGCTTGGTGGCTCCCAGCCATTCCCTTGGCTTTTCAGTTTTTTAGTGCTTCAACCCACTAAAAGTTTGTCATTTTTTGCGGGGGATCCGAAAACGGGCAGCCCAGTTTCGTTGTAACGGATTGATTCGCCGGTCTCGCGCCAGGCTCTCTGGCTCACAGCGGATTTGGAAGGCAGGGTTCCGCTCTCCGGTAGGTGCGATGAGCCAGTGCCCCAGGCACTCTGCTGTGGAACTAGCGGGGGATAATCGCAACATGGGGTGCCGGAGTTGGTTGCAACTGTCATTTGACAACAAGCTCTTCCCTTGGTAAAACTGAAAGGAAGTTGTTTAAACTTCGGTTTAAACATGTTTGAAAGGTGAAATCACTCAACCCTGTTTGCTGTCCCATGCATCTCAAAAAGGCCCAATGGCAGTCAGAGCCTTTCTTGCTTCCTTGGCAATTTCCTGGGGCGAATGCGGCTTTGGGAAATACGAACATCCAATTTATTCTTCAATTGTCCAGGTAGAGGGTTCCTGATTTACCTTGTCCGAGCCTGGGTTTCTGAGTTTCCTGGGCGTATGGCCAGCTATGATTGGTTGAATGCACATGAACCCCTGGAACCCTCACTTCATGAAGGCCACTATCGCCTCCTCTCTAGGCTTGGAACTTCATGAGTTCGGGTTTTGCTTTGCTTCCCCGGGGCAAGGTGTCACCTTTCAGGGATCTCTCAGTTGGCCTCGGTTTGCGGGTTTTCTTTCGAGGCTTCCTTCCTGAGGGATCATAACCCTGGATGAGGGTCGGGGTAACCGTACATTTTCCATATCCCGGGCCCATTCTATAGGGTGTCCCCCATTTGGCGCAAAAACCTCTGATTCATACGTAAGGTTCAACCCAGGGAGAAAACAATACCCCAACGTGCTCCCCCAGCCCAAATCAAACTATGGTTGATAAATAGAGTGGCGTTCCATTTTTTCGGCTGGACTGGGTTTTAAGACCACCTTCTCGCATGCCAGGGCAACCGACTCAAAGTGATAAGTAGGGCATCAGTTGCGCAACTGCCCATTTTTGGTTGAAATCTCCAATTGCGGGCCAGCTGCCGGTTGGGAATGCCAACTGATTGTCGCTCACTCTCTTTGGCGCCGGGCATCGAGGGTTCCCTCCTTCACCATTCTTCGCCCCTTGTGGTTTCTTGAACGGTTGTTTGGTTCTGTTCATTGTGGGTAGGGGTTGAACAACAATTGTTTTTGTTTTTCTTCTAATTATACAGTTCTTTGGTTGTTTGGTTGTTTGGTTCGGTTCATTTTTACCAGGGGGCTGCAACAAGCAGCGCTTGTTGCAGCCAACCCTACGGGTGATGGAACGGTCCATGTCCGAGGTCTGCAGGACCTTCTGCGTGAACAGCAGGTCATCGTGGCAGAGCAGAGCCTTGGCAAAGCTTCAGAGAGCGACTGGAGTAAAAAGAATCGAGCGATGTACGCACACTCCAAATTCGACTTCAGACAAACCTGTAATTGTCCAGTGTTTTGTGGAAAAGGAAGGTCAGTTTTATTTTTATTTTGGGTGGGGGTGGGGCTGCTACCATAGTTATACACACATATATATATATATATGTTAGGTAGGTGTGTACGCGCTTTTGGGTGAGCACGGCTGATTCTTGCAGGCCCCCTTTCTCCCTTCCCAAGTTTCCGTTGGTGTTTGCACGTTTCAGGAAGGGATGGCATTCCTGTTTCAGACAACCAGCTTGCTGATCCCCGGGCTGCATCAAGGTCCCGCAGCGGTGCCGAAATGAATGCCATGAGGAATGTTGGAAGGTTTTTTTCCTCCAAAAGGGGCCCTCTGGTGGGTTGCATGTTAGTTGGTGTAGTGATGTAGATGTTCACGGCAAGGGGTTTGGAGGTTATGCCTTTTGGCCCAAAGGTGGGTTACCGTGTGCTTGGAGCATGTGATGAGTTGCCCTTCGTTGTTGCCACCTTGCGCGAGCAATCTTGGCTGATTTGCGGGAAGCTTTGGACAGGAAATCTGAGAAAGGGAAGCCCAAATGAACGGATCGACCACTTTGAAGAAACATAGGGTGCTAGCAGCCGTGGCACCACTGGTTGCAACTGTACCCTCTTTAGGGGACACACATTTAATTGGCGTTCTGGAATACGTACGGCAGCTGTTAGAACGAAGCCACCCACGTCTAAGAGGTGCCCTGTTCTAGCAAACCCCCCACACCCCAAGCAATGCATGGAGGGTGGGGGGTCACCCCAACATAGGGCCCTTCCACCTTTGCGGGTGCAAGGCAATGAGGAAAATGGAGGAGCTGCCCTTATGTTTTTCCCAGCTGGGGATGACTTTGACAATGTCCACTTCGGAGCATTGCATCCTTACCCTTCTCGCAGTCGGGGGGCGTGCAGGAGCACCCCCACAAGGACAGAATGCTTGGTTTCCTGTTGTTTTCCCTGTGAAACTACACCCAAGAGGGCAACCCCCGAAAAGACTGCCCAACAAAAAAGAAGAGGGAAACAGTTTCCTTTTGTATCCCCTTTGGAACAACACCCACAAGGGCAACACCCAAAAGACTACCCTCAAGAAAAGACAGCGCCGCTCGCATTCCCAGCCTTCCCTGAGGCAGAGCATGCGCGCTGAGTTCCAGCAGATGCAGCGCAAGCTGGACGACTATGTGAAGAGCGAACTGAGGCGACGGCACCGGGCGGCAAGTTCGGCCGAGCTCTTTCGGAGGCGAGCTTACCCCATGATGAAGATCAGTTACTAATGGATTCCCTTATTTCCAGTTTGGTAGTTTGAGCACTTTGCCCAGAAAGCATCCAGGTTGGGATGATACTGCCTGAACGAATCCTCTCTCCCCCGAGGTTTTGGACTTGAGTTCAGATTTTGCTGGGCCAACCCACTCAGGAGGAGAGAACCAAAGAGCATGTTGAAAGGCACTGGACAAGGCAAAGTTCCCTCCTCTGATATGGTTCGGTTACCCTTCTGTTTTGGAGGAAGCCAAGCCCGCGACCACCGCCATCAGTTCTCCCTTGTTACTCCCTTAGGGATAGTAAGCCCCACTAAGGATGGTTCAGCATCAAACATAAATGGCTCCGCTCCCTTGTTCTACCAGGGTCACTGGGCAAGTGAGGTTGGTTTTTTGGTCGGTTGGTTGGTTGGTTGGTTGGCTGGCTGGCTGGCTGGCTGGTTGGTTGGTTGGCTGGCTGGCTGGCTGGCTGGCTGGTTGGTTGGTTGGTCGGTTGGCCAGAAGACAAAGTAAAAAGACATCCTTTGTCCTTGAAGGGGGGGTGAGGCGATTGAGCAGCCGTTTGGACGCCAACGACGCGCGCATCCAGCGGGTGCTTGGGGATGGCCCCACGCCAACAAAGTTTCTGGAGCCTCTTGGCAAAGGGTGGGCTGCGCAACTTGGCGTATACTTCCCCTTTCCATCCTTTTTGACTTCCCTTCAGGGCGTTTAGGGGTGCAAAAAGTCCCCAGGCGAAGGTGCTGGGTGCCCTTCCGACGTGCAGGCTCGTTTGCCTTTGGTGTGACTGAAGAAGCCGACGCGTAGGAAAAACCCTTGACTTGTCCCATCGGCGATTGCCTTGGTGCACTTGCATCCCACCCTGCCTCAGCCTGCGCGCACAGGTGACTTTGCTCAATGCGCTGCTGTCAGCAAGTAGGCCTGTTTTCGGCTGCTGCGTGTCAAGGCACAGACATGGAGCCTTTTGCGCCAGAGGAAGGAAGGAGGGAAGGAAGGGATGGAGGGAGGGAGGAGGGAGGGAGGGAGGGACGGAGGGAAGGAAGGAAGGAAGGAAGTAAGGAAGGAAGGAAGCAAGGCCCCCAGCAAAGATCCTTTGCGTGTGTGTTCCCTGTTGGGGTGGGTGATTGTTTCTACCGTTTGGAGTTGACTATTGCCGCAGTAGCCAGCAAGACTCCAGACATCTTGTTGCTGGTGGACCTGCCACGTTCCTTTGCCAAAGCCGTTGCAAGCTGAAGCCAGGCATCTTCCTGTCAGGTAGTCGGGAAAAGGCAACCCCTTCAGCACATTTGTGAGCCCAACAGCGATTGAGCGGTAGAAGGATCGGATTCATTTGCTGAGCTTGGTACGCCTTTGTTTGTCCTTGTTGTTCTGAAGGGAAGTGATCATGCCTGTCATGTTGTTTAGCTTGTTCATATCACTGTCATTCCAAATCCTCCCAGTCAGCCGTACCCTCAAACTTTTAGTGTTGAGAGTTGCAAGGATGTATAACGTGGCAGCATTTCAGGGATGAACGCAGCACCCAGCTTTGATTTGCCATCGGGCTTGAGTATAGGGCAGTATATGCCCCTTAAGTGTGAAGTTCTTAGTAGAAGAAGGAACAATTTTTAGGGAGAAGCAGCCAGTTGTGGCAATCCACCACTTTTTAGCAGTCTGTTGCACGCGCACTCTTACCGGCCCAGTCTTCTCCACCTGGCAAGCCCAGGTCGGCAAAGAACCTCTTTGCCGACCCGGCGTCCGGCGCACGCCAGGAGCGTGGGACTGCTGGCGCGCCAACAAACATGAATGTTCACAAGGACCCTTTCCAAAAGAAATTAGTCAGTTTTTAGAAAAGAGAAGAAAACAACAAAATCAGGGGTTTGTGATGTGTTGCTTTTTTCCCAGGGGTTTGCGCACTTCCACGTTTTATAGGTGGGAGGGTTCCAACCACGAGTTAGCCAAAGGGTACCCTTTTTCCATCAATTGTGGAAGTGGCATCCGGTACTGCCCACACCTTCATGATTAATGGAAAGATCAAGAAGGGACCGATTGCTCATGGGGTTGAACGGAGCAGCCTTGCGACAGCGTTCAACAAGTCCTGCTTGCCAACAACCAACCAACGCCCACTTCCCTATGTTTTGTTGGCCTTTCCGCTTGTGCCGGTCCCTGATGTGTCTCCTGTCGGGACCATCTGGTCGTGTGTGAGGCGACGGTCTTTTCAGAGTTTTAGTCCCTGGTGTTTCTGCAATTGGCCTCTACTCTTGGCAATGCCCCTGGCGGGGTTCCTCCACTTTGAAACCCTCTCTTGCTGGCCGCGAACTACTTCCGCCGACTTGAAAGCCTGTGGCTACTGCAGCCAGTGACGCTCATATTTATTTAGGCATTTGTTGTTTGAGCCTGGACCCCCTGACGATGCGATTCCCTCCTTCTCGTGGCGACGGTTTTGGAGGACGTGGGCCATTCTTGCTCGCTGCTTTTTGTTAGCATTTCCCTCCCTTGGCCTTCAAGTTTAGACCAAGCTGTGGGCTGTTGAACTCATTTCCCGGCTCCGGGCCTCCTTTTCAAGCCTTGGCCCACTCTGCCCGTTCCCCCGGTGGGAACGGTTATCGGTTATTGTCGTTGGTGCCTCGGCCTCCCCAGTCTGTCGGCCCTTCAATGCCGTTGCGCTTGGGGTTCGGTTCCCTGGCTTCTGAATGAGGCGCCTCTCACCCGGTTCGTGGCCCGCGGGTTCCCTGCTAACCGAGCAATCACATGCGGGAGCAAACACTTCGGGGTCAAAGGCCAATCCAGCATGTATATCATGGTTGGATCATGGTTGGACAGGAGGCTCAGAGCGATTTGCTTTGTCTAGCTTGAATATGACTGGTTGGTTGCCTTTTTTAGGTGAGCGGTCTTTGGGCTGCTTCTTGCGGGAACATGTTGTTGAGAGCCTGCTGAAACACAGGGAAGCATGCATCACGTATCTGCCTGTGAGCCAAATCATGTGTGTGTGTGTGTGTGTGTGTGTGTGTGTGTGTGTGTGTGTGTGTGTGTGTGTGTGTGTGTGTGTTTTTGGCGCTACCCTTTTTGTAAGAGCAGGCAAAAGGGAAACTGCCCGAAAGCGAGGTGTGGGAGGCTTCCAGGCACCAGCCTCTTGCAGACTGCTTCACACGCAGGAGCCGCGGATGTCGCCGCTGCCAGAGACGGGCGGCTACAAACGCTCCCCCCTGGTGCCCTCCCCGCGAAGCGAGAAGGTCCGGCAGTCCATGCAGCAACCATCGAGGAGTGCGATCCAAGGGCCCGGCCTGCGAGAAGAATCCTTCGAATGCTGCCCTGTGATTCTATGTGCCTGCTATAGTGGGGAATGAAGGGAAACTGAGAGCCTCCTCTGGAAATGGTGTGAAGGGGTGACGAAGGGAAGCTACAATGTAATTGAGATCCATTGACCACTGGGCTAAGCCTTTTATTTTTGCTGCTAAGCATCGAGGGAGGTTTCAGCGCGGATGATTTTTTGTTTTTTTGTGGAAGGGGTTTCCCTTGGAACAGCAACTACCGAATGAATTATTTTGTTTAGGAGGTGTCCATCTGTTGCGGAAAATAATTACTCCAAAGCTATGGAGGTCTGGTGAAATCCTTGGCGGCAGATGTCGGCTCGCCGCTTTTACGAGGAGGAACTCCAAAGCATCTTCCAATGACTTGGACTCCAAAACGGACCAGCTCGTGGAAGCGTGCAAGAAGGAGGGACCGTTCGAGGAACTTTAAAGCATCCCCAGCACCAATTGGGAGTCAAGAGATAAACCGTGATGTGACATGGCTTTGCCTGGCAGGGTCCAAGAAACCTGCTTGTGCATACGGATCGATTTGGAGGTCAGAACCATGAAGGTGTGTTTTACGGGGGCAATCGTATGAGAAACGAGCCACGTTTTGGGGTTCCTCTTGAGAAAAACTTTGGGCAGTCGAACGATTCCAACCAACTCCCACTGGTCCTGTCAGGCCCCGGTCGAAGACGTTTGGAGCTCGCCGGGAGACTCCGCAGTGACCTCGACCGTGCTGGACCACGCGGAGGAGAATCTTAGCAAAGCGAACTTCAAGCCTTTTGCTTTCCTCTTTGACCATGTGTAATGTTGACCCCATATTAATCAGCGCCAGTTTGTTACTAGGGGGGGTGCTTTTTTCCCTTGGCTTCGTGGGGAATCATCATTTTGGAGGGGAACACTCCCTATTAATATCAGGGGTTGATGATTGTGGGGTCAACATGATCCAAGATTCAATAGGTTTCTCCTTTTCCTTTGTTTTAAGTCCCTTCACTTTACGTCCCGAAAGCTCCTTTTTTCGCCAGGTCCCTTCGGCTAAGGAATCTGCGGCGCTGCTTCGCAAAGACGAGGGAGGGCCAGCGCAACCCCAACAACCCCCTGCGCCTCGGCCGCTGCAAGGAGCAAACTGGCCGCCTCGACAGAAGAAGAGAAACAAAAGCACACACACACACACACACACGCACCCACGCAGACACGCACCCACGCAGAGACGCAGACACGCAGACACGCAGACACTCAGACACGCAGACACGCAGACACGCAGAGACAGGCAGACACACAGACACACAAAAAGACACACAGAGACACATACACACACACAGAGAGAGACACACACACACACACAGTAGCTCACACACAGAGAGACGCACACACACACACAGACACACAGAGAACACACACAGACACAAACAGACACAAACAGACACAAACAGACGCAGACATACAGAGAACACAGAGAACGTGCACAGAGAACACGCACAGAGAACGCACGCACAGAGAACACACACAGAGACCACACAGACAGAGGACGCAAAGAGAGTACACAAACAGAGAGACACACACACACACAGAGACACTCAGCGGGACACATAGAGGCGCACACAGCGAAAGACAGAGAGAGAGAGAGAGAGAGAGCGAAAGCACACACGCACAGACACACACAGACACACAGAGAAACACAGAGAAACACAGAACGCGGCCGCCCCAAAACAAGGATTGGCCAAGACTCCCTCGCCTGCGGGGCTGCATAGCCCAGGTTTGTTTCATAGGGAAACTCCAGTAGTTTCCCTTGGTTTCTCAGGTTTGTTTCATAGGGAAACCTTGGCTTCCCTTTGGGAAAAGGCACTCCCACTTTTTATATTTCAACAAAAAGGGAATCCGAACATCTCGATTTTTAAAGATCGTTCTTGCAAGTGACAGCTCGGTGACAGTAGACAGCACACTTCACCGAGAAGGGAATGATGCCTCCAGATCCGAATCCACCGATGAAAGCAAAGGCGACGCATCAACCAGGGCGGAACCCAGCGCACAGCCATGGGTCCTCGTCGCCCCGGAGCCCTGCCCATCCACCACTTTCAAGGGTGACTTTGAGAATGTGTCCATGATGCGGCCCGTTGAATGCGTTTCGCATTTCGACACCTCAGAACCGGCCACCAAAAAGGCTGGGTCGAAGCGCCACTTTTATTGCTTGAACCTTTGGATGGCGCAGCTTGGTGATGTCAGGCAAAACTGCGAGGAGCGTCCGGACTTGGAGCCTTGGGAAGGCCACAGCGTGACATGAGGCGATGCCGAAGGGATACCGCGCCACAAAAGGAAAGGACGTGCAAGACTAGAAGCAAACTTTCACCAGGGCCGGCAGAATCTCTGGAAACATATTTTTTGGTTGCGCCAAAACAAAAAATACAAGCAAAAGTACCATTCCCTTTTGGCAACGTAGCACTCAGCTGGCCAGGGGCCAGGGGCCCAGGGGCTCAGGCTGGGGCTGAATGCAATCTTCAAGCGCCTGGACCAGAACCACTCGGGCAAGGCGAGGCTGTGCTGTGTGGAGGTCACCTTGGCACAGGACGAACCTGTTATGAACCCGTAGGATGACCGAAACATCGACCTTTGACCTTTCACTTCAGTTGCGCTTCAAGTTGAGTCAAGTTTCCAACAGGTTAGCTGTTTACTTCCACTTGGGCAGCTGAGAATTTTCAGGCTGCTCCGAGACGTTCCTAGGGCCCTTTTCGCGAAATCTAGCTTGCCAGCTGCCAGCGATTTCCCACCACTATGATATGACGTATCATTTGTTGTCGCACGAACTGCTGTCCAAGAGGGCGGCTTTTCCTTTGCGGGCACCTCACCGATTGCTCCCCCACTGGGCTCAACTCCCCCGCCTGCCAAGGCTCCGCAGCAGGCTTTGCTCCTCTTTGTCTTGCACTTCGTGTCTTCTCTTTTGTTTGTGCGTTCCTAAAGAAATCCCTTTTCGCCCGAACCACCCAGGGGACGGGCCTCTCTCAAGGGTCAAGCGTTTTTGTGCAGAGTTTGTTGACCTACAGGGCCTTTCAAGTGCTTTGGCCATCTTGTCTTCTTGTTAGGAACCGTTTGGTTCCTCCACTGTCAACCCCCAAAAGTGTGCAGCCGCGCCCCGTCAACGTGCGGACGCCAGCTTTCGCTTTCCTTCCCTGGCCTCAAGGAATTCTCTTGACCACGCTAACCAGACCTTACCAGCCAAAAGTGGAGGTCATGGACCGACTAACTACCCCGGATCGTCCCAGCTACGAGTGGGGCGTCCCTTTCTTGTGATCCGTTTTGATCCAAGGGCCGCTCACAGGGATGTAGTTTTACAGCTCGTCCAAAGTATTTTTGGGTTTTTTGGGTTCCAAAAGGGGAAAGCTTGTCAGGCTAGATACACGTGAGTCGTTCAAATTTTCGTCCAACTCTGCAGGTGGACCGCCAGGAATTTGCAGACCTCTGCGCTGTGTTGGACTTCAACTGCTCCGCGGACGTGGCTTTGGCGTCCAAATTTGGCCGGCTCCGAACAACAACTCAAACTTACATCCAGGAGAAAAGAAGCGGTCAAGCAGGTTTGAGCATTTAGAAATGTCACAACAAAGCAGAAAACAATCGCTTGTCACTGGAGTTGGTGAGGTTTGCTCCTTCACCATAGGTTGCAAGCTACTTTGTAAGCGGGTTGAACATCCAAGTACGTGTGCAACTATTGCCCTTCCTGCTGTAAACCATATGACCTTACATCCCTTCTGACCCCATCGGAGCTTCTCAGAATTCTTGTAAGTGAAGTGCTACAAACCTTTTTCGGGGTTGGGGGGGGCTTTTGGTTTCTCCCCTTCGGTTGCAATGTCATGCGCAGCTGTTGGAATTGTTCAGACCCATACTTAATCGCTTTTTTTTTGCTACCTACCAAGTAAGCAATAATACTTGCTTGCAAGCTCGGCATGGTACCTGTTGTCCGTGTTGTCCACCCATGCGTGCTTGTTGTCAGTTTGGTTCTTTACTTAAAACATGTGTCCCAACCCACAAAAGGGGGTGCCCATTCCCATCACCGGGAAAGTAGGTAGCCAGCTGCAGTTATAAGTTGGACTGTTGTTCCTGGGTTGTCAGGAAGTGCTTGGTTCGTTTCTTGGGTTACACGTGATGTTTGCTGGTTTCCCCTCAGGATTAAGGATTAGGATTGGTGAGCCCAACAGCCCAGCAAGTAAGCCAACAAAAACAAAACACACCTAGAACAAATAACCTGCCAAAGTTGGCAACCACAGCCAACAGGGGACATCGAACCTTGACTTCCAATCAAAGGACTAGAGCCTCCAGCCAGAAAGCGTGCGGGTGGGTGTGATGCTTTAGTCGCCTCTATTCGCTATCAAGGGAGTGGTAAGGCCAGTAAATGCGGTTTACCAGCTTCGCACCCTGTTCTGCAAGTGAACTGATGTGGCCAAGTAGTGAGTGAGCTGCTTAGGTCATGAGCGGGCTTTTCAACCGCTACGACGTGGACCGGTCCAACTACATCACAGTGGACGAGTTTGGTCGCACCCTGGATCCGTGGCGAAGCGCGAGCAGGGGAGTGCATGTGTGGTGAAGGAGGAGTACTTCAGAGCAAGTTGTGAGAACAAAGCTTGGTGGGCTTGGTGGCCTTGGGGCGTACAGCGATAGACGTGACCTACATGACACCAACAAACGCCAACCCCAAGGGCCCGAGGCATGGACAACAAACCCCAACCCAACCCAAGGCATGATGCTCAAGTACCAAACGGGACCTGAAGATTAGAAGTGTCTTGCTTTCTTTAGACAAACCCTACAGCAATTGGTGGACCCTTTCTCGAAGGAAACGCAGCCGAGCACCCGAGCTGCATACTTTATGGCGATCTCACCGATTTTCGGCCGTTAAACCAGCTCTTGGCAAAGATCCTTCACTTGAAACTCCGGTACTTCTGCCAGGTTTTTGGCGAATATGGTAACCGATTGCCGAATCCGTGTCTTTTCTGCCAGGAAACAGATCGAAGCAATCCCAGCCTCCTGCAGATGGGTGGGTGTTTGTCCAGGGCACCCCTAGGTTCTTTTTGTTGTTAATATGGGAATCCTTAGGAGGAACGCCACACCCAAATCCAGATATCTTTTTTTTGGGCAGACGAGGCATCAAGCGCCCAAGATCCCCTTTTTCAGCGCGTTTCTGCGAGGTATGATGTTCAAGCTGGAGGGGGACAAGGAGGGCAAGGCTCTGAGCACCATCGCGCGGCTCCGGGAGGCTTTGGCCCTGCGGGCCGGCGGCTTCGAGACCCTCAAGGCGCGCGCTTGCGGCGCGCGACGCGCGCCGCCGCGGAAAAAGCCACCCACCCAGGAGTCCCAAGGGTCCCGCGGGGTGGGTTGGAGGCCAAAAAAAGGGTCCGCCGTTTTGTGAATCCTAAAAGTGGGTAGGTGTCAAAGAATAAGGGGACGATGTCGCCTCAAAATGGTGGTTGTCCTTTTGGCTGAGGCCTAAACAAGGGTATACCGGCGCAAAACGACACACCCACAGGTGTCCACCCTGGGAGTTGCATACTCATCGGTTGACTGTTGATTGCTTTTCAGAGTGATTTCCGTAGCCACCGTGTGAAGGGTAGCTTGAGGATGTCACCTTAGTGTCCAGTCTCTGGGACAGTTTGGCAGACGGCAGGTGGGTTTCCGGGTTTCAGTTTGGTCTGAGCTGCATTTGCGGAATCCATCTATTTGTCTAAAAGGGCACCCAGTCACAACGGGTTGGGACTTGCAAGAAGGGTTTCTGCTTTGTATCCCCGAAAAGGCGGGCGACTCATCAAAGAGCCCCGTTTTTGAATGCTTCTTTTGAGGGGTTCTCCTTTCAAAGGTTGATATGGCTGTGGGTCAAAACCAATGCTACCATGTTGGGGTAGGTGCACCACCCATTTTAGTTTATTTTAGTGGGGATTGGGATGTTTTTTTTCTGAAGGTATGGGATTTTGACCCATGGCCACATGTTCATACCACCCAGCCACAAAATGCTGGGCCGATGCCCAGTGCTCAAGGGGTTGGGGGTGGATTTGTCTCAGGAAGTGGGAACACGACATGGGTTATGAAATAGGGGCACCCCGAAAATGGTTTGTTTCCTTTTCTTTGGTGCCTTTTGCTTGGATGTTAGGACTTTAACATTAAACCACTAAAAGTTAAACTTTTAGCAGGGGAGCAGAAAGCAACCGAGTTTTGGTGTCCAGTTAAAGCTACGTCAAGGTACCCTCAACAGAAGGCACACCATCGAGCCTCCGAGCGACAGGCCATGGCATCCCAGTTCCGCATCATCGACCACGACAAATCCGGAGAGCTCACAAAGGACTGGGCCAAGGTGAAAATCTCCGCAATGGCTGGAACGCCCCCATAAATCGGACTTTCCGCAAAAGACAAAGCCGTTTTGCTACCGTACCGTTTTTTTTAAATATAATAAAACCCCATGAGGAAGAGTTCAACACGGCCCTGGACATCCTCTTCAGCTGCTTCCAGCTGCGCTTCTCCGCTGCGGAGAAGCTCAGCTTATTCCAGAAGTTCGACCGGGACAACTCCGGCACGGCAACTGGGATCGCTGAGGTCTGAGGTCTGTTCAGCTTCCCCTGAACTGAAGCTTTGGATTGGTGGTTTGGGATTTGTACCCCAGTTTGTGTTGAGTTCAGCTTTGGTGCCATTTCGCCTTGAGAACAGTTCTAGCCAGTTCGTCCGAACTGCCTCAACCACATGGAAGCGAAGTGGAAGATCCTGGAAGACCAAGGGCACTCTCTGCCGGCTTCATGTTCCACTTAGTTGGAGGTTTGGATTGGTTTGGGAGTTGAACCCCAGTTCCTCTTGAAACCAAATGGGGCTTTGGTAGCCCCCCACGTCCAAAGTTACGAAACCAAACCGCCAAGGAGGGGAAGCTGATATGTGGTGTGTCTGTTTTGTGTTTTGGGAGCCCCCCCACACTCCCCGCAAGAACGGTGGTCTTACGGTGGTCTTCCTGTTGGTTTTGACTTTTTGGGGGGGCCCTCCAAATGTTTGTAAGGCTTAGTCGGTGGTTTGGAGCCCGGTGGCTTGGATTTGGAGTTGAACCCTTCTTGTAGATGGGAAAAATGGGAAGCCATCTGTCAACCACCAAGCCACAAAGTCGAGGGAAGCTGGGGTGGTGTCTTCCTTTTGGTTTTGTTTACGCCGAGGCGAGGGGCTGAACTGTGGGTGGAAGACCGGTCCCAGTCGTACCAACTAAGCAAACAGGTCCCTCATCCCTAGCGGCCGAGGCCTGTATCCCAACGAAAGGTTGCTTAGAATCCAAGGAATCCTTGTAAGAATCCTCGGGATGGTGACCACTTTTTATTTTTGTGAAGTGCAGACTTAGACTACCCTTTCTAAGAACCCTCCTATAAATGTCTGTGAGAGGGGTGGCATTGGCTTCCTCGCATTTTCTCCACCAAAAATGGAGCAACAACCAAGAAGGGGGTTCCTTTGGTTTTCCTGTTCTGTGGAGGTTCTCATCGCGAATGTGCACCTCCCCCCCCCCCCCCCCTTTTTGCCCATGTGGTTTTCCGCGGCCGACCTTTTCACCTTTAGGATTTTCCAGTTTGGGCCTAGTTTTTGGCTACATCAGGTCTTCTTTGATCAGAATCGACTTGAACTATAAGAACCCTTGCAATGACTCCTCATTGATTCATGATATTTGGTTTGACACGTTACCTTTTATGCGAACCCTATGTTTCCAGCTCTGGCTGTGGAAGTGAGGTGAACTACGAGGCGTGGGTTTCCGGCCCGCATGCGCGGCCCGGCTTGGGGCAGATGTGCTTCGGTCGAGTTTTGGATGTTTGGGGTGCCGCTAAGGAGGCCTTTTTTTTGCTGGGAAACCGGTAGGACACCCTACACATAATCAGCCACACACCCGAGAAAAATGGATTTGTGGCTCATTACCCATGAAAATGACCAGTGGACTTGTTTTGCCTGTCCTATCCCCTTCGGCTTTCCCCCGAGGTGCGACAGATACTGGATCCTTCCAAGTGAACATTTTGAGGGGTTCTCAAAACCTTGCGATTTCCCTAGGCACAACTCCGGTCTCATGCGCTTTTTCCTAAACATCCAGAGGGTTCTGGATGGAGCCACGTGCCCGGGCCAGGAGTTTATCCGTGGGGTGCGCGGGAAAATGAACGACTTCCGCCTGGACTGGGTCAACCAAGCCTTCGGCATCCTGGTTTCTCGGCGCATCGAGCAGGGGTCTTCCGCTGTCGCAGAAGCTATGGGTAGCTTGTTTCTTACGTAGAATTAGCTCCCCTTTTTCTTTTCCTTCTTTTTTTGTTTTGCCTTTTTGGGTCCTCACTAACCAGGCAAGAAAATAGAGTTTTTTGCTGGGGTCCTAATTCCAGCCAAGGTTTGGGGAATGCCGGTTCGGCTTCGTTGCTTTTGCTTGGCAAGCCAGACGGTCACCAATGATGTTCTGGGCATTTCCCAATGCAGAGACAAACCCTCTCGCCCTTCTCCCGAATCCTGCAAAGACGGGTGCGTTGGGGTCTTTTTGTTGGGAACCCAAGAGAGGGAGGGGGTTAGATGATGGGGGTGGGGTTGGATCATAGGACTCTTATGTGCTTGGGCTGCGCCGTCCTGCTACAGAATTCAAAGCTCGATTTCCATCAGCTCCGGAAGCCTTACCATCCAGGTAGAATTATGACCCATCACCCAGGTGGAATGTTTATGGGTATAGGAAGCTTTCCTTTTTGGGGCCATAAAGGCAGGGAAAGCATGCCAGTCAGGTAGAGATCTGATTCCGCCATAGGACCGGGACGGCTCCGGCGTGGTCACGGCCGCCGAGATGGCGCAAACCTACGACGTGTCGAAGAACCCCGCGGTGCAGTCTGGAAAGGCGAGAGATTTCGAAGCCTTTGGGGCACTTCCCCAAAACCCCTTCTTTGTTGCCTCACTTCCTGAATTGATGGACTTCAAACGTTTTTTGGGAAGATGGTCCTGGTGGTAAGCAACAAGTCGTTTCCTTTTGGGCCATCAACTCAGGAAGTGAGTTGCAGTTTCTCTTGTTGGAACAACCAGTGGACAAGAAATCACCAGTGAGTTGATCAACTTTTGAAGGGGAAGCCCGGTGACCCTGCAGCGGGCCTTATGAGGACGTGCGAGGGTTTGGTGGAAGGAAGCCTAGTGGAATTCGAACCCTCCACTTCCCCTGCCCCCTTACAGGTCTGATGAACTTGGGGGCACAGAGAGGGAGGTACGGCCCCGCAAAGGGTCCGGTTAGGAGGGGGTTCCCAGCGGGTTTTCTCCGGGCGTGTGTTCAAGAAAGGTTTTCCATGTCTAATTGCAGTTTGAGTTGGTGTGGGTTGACATCATACCCTGAAAAATAGATTTGATCCTGAGGGAGGCCACCTACAACTACCTTCTCCCACAGAACGGCGTCTTCCGGGAACCCGTTTATTTTGAGGATTGACCTTCTGGGGGAAGGGTAGGGTTCATCAATCCGACGTTAACGTTTATTGGGATTTGATTCACGATTCAACGAAACGATTGTTTGATTGGTTGTGTCGATCTCCATGCCTATCCGGGCCCCTATGTCCCATGGAGATGCTTCACCCAAGCACACTCCCACAGCAAACTGGATCAAACAACGAGATTTGAACAGCCCAAGCAGAGAAACAGTCCCCATAATTTGGTTGGTTGGTTGGTTTGGTTTGGTTTGGTTTGGTTTGGTTTGGCTTGGCTTGGCTTGGCTTGGTTGTTTGGTTGGTTGGTTGGTTGGTTGGTTGGTTGGTTGGTTGGTTGGTTGGTTGGTTGGTTGGTTGGTTGGTTTGCAGTCCGTATGGGCAGTTTATGGGCACAAGCAACAGCTTTCGGCGACAACGCCACCACCAAAGGGCAGGTGCAGGTGGGGCCCATAGGCGCAATATCAATTCGGTGACCCTATCTTTCAACATGGTGCCCTTCGGTAAATCACACAAAAATAGGCAAGCAACAAACACACAAACCACGCGCAATGATGACGTCATGAACACCCACGCAGAACCGATTCCCATTCTGTAAGGCTTCCCCCCCCCCCGGAACGAGCTCCTTTGCTTCCTGGAGGGGCATCCCTCCCAATGGGTTTGAAAATCAATGGACATTTTTGGGGGGACGCCTTCATGTTGAAACAGACACGGGGTGAACAAAGGCACATCTTCCCTTGAAATGTGGACGTGACAGTGAAGCAAAAGACATCGGAGTGCCAAGAACAGTCAAGCAACTGCAGAAACCTTAGGACGCATCTGAAACATGGATAGTTGAACTTTTCATTGGGCTGGAATTGAAATCATTGGATTTGTTGCGTGGGGAAATGGCTCCGCCCAACGCGCCGTACTAATCAGGGGTGGTCCCGGAGGCCCGCGTCAAATGCGTCAAAGTTTGGACTTGTTTCCTATGAGTTCCCAAAAGCGGGCCCTAGTAGTCGGAGGTATTCCTTAGTCCAATGTTAGACATTATCGCGCCGCCTGTTTGCGGCACACATTAGGAGCCCATGTCCAACTCCTGCATTTCCGGCTTTTCTGAACGCTGCAAGGTGACGCCTCAGAAGGCGATGTCGGCGTTTATGCAGCACTTCGACCAGCAGCTCGGGAAAAAGCCCGGATCTCACCCAAGCCCGCGGAAAGCTTGGGGAACAACCCGAGTTGCACAACCGTAAAACGTGAAGCTAGGAGCAATTTGCTCGGAGGAACCCCTCTTTTTTAGCTGGAGGTGGAATCGGCATGGCGTTCCTTCCTGGGGTTGGCTTCCTTGAAGCCGAGGGGAATCGACATATACTAGGCTTTGCTGTTCTTGGCATGTTTTTGGGTCTTTTTGTTTTTGGTTCTGTTCATGTTTACTGGGGGTCTGCAAAAAACAAAGCTTTTTGCTACCATACCAAGAGTAGAGATGTAGGGTTTCTTGCTTGGCTCATTCGAACCTATCCTGGACCTCCAGTGGGGCACGTGCTTCCCAGCTGCTTTGGAGCAGCTTCTCTCGAAATTACCCCCCCCCCACCAATCAACAGCTAGAACCTTGACGTTCGGGAAATGGTCCCTTTCAAAGGGAAATGGTCCAAGCCAGAAGTCCCCCAACGTCAGGTTCCGGCTGTGAATTGGTGGGAGGGTAACTCCCCCAACTCCCCGGCCGCGGGAGGTCTTGGCTTTGCGCCTTTTGGGGCGTGACGGGCCCAAGCCTCTAAATGTTACAGGCTTACGAAGACCTTTTTTTTTTGGCGCCTGGCTGGGGGCACGCGGGAGCCTCCCCCAGCTGCATGACGGCTTTACCGTTCTGATTTTTTAGTGAGGGCTGCAAAGAACATGCTTCGGCTATCGCGCCACAGTGGCAGAGTGGGAGTGTTTGTGTAGCGGTTGGAGTCCTTTCTTCCAGGGGCTTGCCGCCTTATTAGGTCAAACTAGCTAGCTAGGTCTTTCGGGGGTCTTTGTGGCTTTGTGCAGGTCCTGCAGGATCCCTGGTTACCTTTCCCTTGGCCAACTCTTGAAGTGTTGGGTAAGACAAAACTACCGGCAGAGAGGCAGAGAGGAGATGAACTTCTGGTTTACGGATTTGACTGAGTCAGGTTCCTTGGAGCAACCAAGGAACTGCGATGGGACGATCACACAGGAGGAGTTCATCGAAAACTACCAGTGGGTCAGCGCGTCCATTGACAGCGTCTCGACGAAAATATGGCCAAGCCCTGCACGGGAGCGCTGCGAGCCGGATTGAACATGAAAGGCGTAACAGGAAAGTATAACGAGCATATGCGTTTGTTCAGACAAGGGGTGGGGGGGGTGGGGGGGGTGGGGGGGGGGGAGGTGGGGGGGGCGCCTGAGCAGCCTGCTATTGTGCTTCACGCTGTCTTGCTGGGCATAATATAACATGTAAAACTAGGGGGTTCTTCTGACTTCTAGTTGTCTTTGTGTTACGCGCCCCCCCTCCCCTCATGTCCAAAGCACAGCTGATCTGACAGCTTGCGCCTAGGAAGGAATGCCTAGGATAAGCACCCTAGTATTCTCATGTGGGTGTGTGTTAGAAAAGGGGCCGCTGAAAACTTATGGTGTTCCTTGGCGTTTCCCTTTAAAGCAAGGGTACCCTCCAAAAGACACACCCATCCCATGCTGCCCATGCATTCGTTTATGAATTGGCACCCCCTCAGCCAGTTCAAAAAGACAGTTATGATCAGAGCATGAAAGCCACCAAAAATAGCACTCAGTTGAAAACGGAAAATATGGTTGGGGGACGCTTCCCGGGAAAAGTGCGTATTCATGTCCTTGGAAAAACTTCCCTTTGTTTTAGGAGCTTTGTTTTTCCTTGGTGTGGTCCTGACTCGCAGGTCGGAAGGCCAACCTTTCAACGCGTTTGTTTTTTGGTTCTTGCTGTTCTCTCGTCGGGATTGCACTTTCAAAAAACAAACCACGTATTTCCTTGCCTTGGCAAGCGACCCCAGGAAAGAAAATGGTAATAGGAAACTAAAAGTTAAACTTTTAGCAGGGGAGCAGAAAGCAACCAAGTTTATATTATATTACCTTCCTGTTTATCTTACATGTTAGTCTTCCAGACCCTGGCTGCCGGAGCCTCCGGCAAGTCCCTGATTTCTCTCGCAAGGCGATGACTACTTCGAGCTTATGATCCGCAACGCCTGGCACATCTCCGGAGGCGCGCGTTGTTTTTCAAGCGCGTCGTCGTTCCTGCGTTACATGTCTCGGGGGCAGAGGAATTTTGTAGATAAATGAAAAAGAAAGGAATAGCAAAAAGGAAAGTGTAAGAGATTTCTATTTCCTTCATATCACCTCGCATTCTTAACAGCGAGGGCAAGGTACATGAGTGAGTCAACAGACACCAAATAGAGAAGGGAAACCAAATATAAAGTAAAAATGAATGAAGAAAACATAAGATGAACAGCTATTTCCATTTCATTCACGGCATTAACGCCTAGCGGTCTGGTTCCTGTCCTTTGTTGAAGAGTAACCAATACAAGGTAAAGTGTAGGAAATAGAAAGGTAAGATAGAATGGTTTTAGGGAAGGAATAGAGTCTTTATCATATGCTGTAGCGACCGAGCGAAGGGTTCCATCATTATCCTATCGTTTATCCCAGCGGCAGCAATGAAGGATAGGGAAGGGTCATGAACATACCCACAGGGAAGCGATTCGCTATCCCACTCTATTTAATATTTTACTTCCAAAAATAGAGAATGGAAAGGTCCTACAATTGCGGACGGGATTATTACGACAAAGAAAAGCAAACTATAAAACCAACTAAAAACTAATAATAAACAAAGCAAAAGGAAACAGGATAATAATGATAACGAAAAGTGAAGATAGAAAGCTAGGGAACGTCCTTTCATGTCGGTTAAACCTCATTCATTTTCTATCTCTTCCTTGCTTGTCGTTCCTTTTCCTAATGTCATCTCCTTTCTCTTTCATGGACAAGCCCTAACCATAGGAAATAGAAAGGGCTTGGGTACACAGTCTTCTCTATGTCACCCCTCGTCCAACCGCCAGGCGGTGCCAAAGGCCAGGACGAGGCAGTCATCATTTCCTTCGTTCATTCATTGCACTGACGAGTGACGATGAAGGGACATTTCCATTACATTCCACTTCCGGCTGAGGCACGGCGGGTAAATAGTTGGATAAGATACGATGGGAAAGATATTAATGATGTACCCGCTCGTTCCTCACCTATCTATCTCCCTTCTCGCTCCTAAAGGTACGCTCGGTGGTTAGCAAAGACCAAGAGTTGAGTGAGTTCTTAGAATCTCGAAGTCAACAAGATATAGAAAGGAAACGACAGGATAAGGAATAGATGAAAGAAGAGATTCCAGAAGTTAATAGGTTGTGGATGGGATTATGAAAGAGAAGAAAGACATATAATAAAAACAAACAAGAATGAATGCAAACAATAATAAAAAGGGAGGGAATTCCCATCATTTGTACGTGTCTTTCACTTTAGGTTTTACTTTCCTCTTTCATTCTCATGCTTCACTTTTGGTTGAGGAACTTGTCATCCTAGATCCATTTCCTTCCTATGAATGAGTTAGACCACAGGGAAAAGGAATGAAGAAAGAAGTAAAGATGGACAGATGAAAGAGGCAAATAGCCAAGACAAGGGAATTAGACCCTACATGACATCTCTTTGCAGCACTTGGTCTTCCTTCTCCAATCTATTCTCTGCTCTTCACTTATCACTTTCCTATCCATGTCAATCTTAACAGGAACTAGTAAAGACAAAGGGAAAGGAAACCAACAGATAATTGCCTGCCAATCCGCTCGTTCTCTCGCTTCTCTTTCGTAATTCCTAGATTGGGGATAATTCACGAGTAAACAGATGATAGACAGATGAAAGGAATGAATCTGGGAAATGAACGGATGCAATGTAAGAACACACCCAATAAACCTAATAAAAGACCAAAATAATGGTGAAGGAATCCCAATTTCTGAGATACAATCCTATCCTCTGTGAGGTCCTTCTCTACCTGTTAATTCTTCCTTCTTTAGGATCTTGGCAAAGGATGAAGATATAAATGAAAAGATACGAAAATAAGATATAAAAGATAAATGAAAAGAAAAGGAATAGCAAAAAGGAAAGTGTAAGAGATTTCTATTTCCTTCATATCACCTCGCATTCTTAACAGCGAGGGCAAGGTACATGAGTGAGTCAACAGACACCAAATAGAGAAAGGAAACCAAATATAAAGTAAAAATGAATGAAGAAAACATAAGATGAACAGCTATTTCCATTTCATTCACGGCATTAACGCCTAGCGGTCTGGTTCCTGTCCTTTGTTGAAGAGTAACCAATACAAGGTAAAGAGTAGGAAATAGAAAGGTAAGATAGAATGGTTTTAGGGAAGGAATAGAGTCTTTATCATATGCTGTAGCGACCGAGCGAAGGGTTCCATCATTATCCTATCGTTTATCCCAGCGGCAGCAATGAAGGCTAGGGAAGGGTCATGAACATACCCACAGGGAAGCGATTCGCTATCCCACTCTATTTAATATTTTACTTCCAAAAATAGAGAATGGAAAGGTCCTACAATTGCGGACGGGATTATTACGACAAAGAAAAGCAAACTATAAAACCAACTAAAAACTAATAATAAACAAAGCAAAAGGAAACAGGATAATAATGATAACGAAAAGTGAAGATAGAAAGCTAGGGAACGTCCTTTCATTTCGGTTAAACCTCATTCATTTTCTATCTCTTCCTTGCTTGTCGTTCCTTTTCCTAATGTCATCTCCTTTCTCTTTCATGGACAAGCCCTAACCATAGGAAATAGAAAGGGCTTGGGTACACAGTCTTCTCTATGTCACCCCTCGTCCAACCGCCAGGCGGTGCCAAAGGCCAGGACGAGGCAGTCATCATTTCCTTCGTTCATTCATTGCACTGACGAGTGACGAGGAAGGGACATTTCCATTACATTCCACTTCCGGCTGAGGCACGGCGGGTAAATAGTTGGATAAGATACGATGGGAAAGATATTAATGATGTACCCGCTCGTTCCTCACCTATCTATCTCCCTTCTCGCTCCTAAAGGTACGCTCGGTGGTTAGCAAAGACCAAGAGTTGAGTGAGTTCTTAGAATCTAGAAGTCAACAAGATATAGAAAGGAAACGACAGGATAAGGAATAGATGAAAGAAGAGATTCCAGAAGTTAATAGGTTGTGGATGGGATTATGAAAGAGAAGAAAGACATATAATAAAAACAAACAAGAATGAATGCAAACAATAATAAAAAGGGAGAGAATTCCCATCATTTGTACGTGTCTTTCACTTTAGGTTTTACTTTCCTCTTTCATTCTCATGCTTCACTTTTTGTTGAGGAACTTGTCATCCTAGATCCATTTCCTTCCTATGAATGAGTTAGACCACAGGGAAAAGGAATGAAGAAAGAAGTAAAGATGGACAGATGAAAGAGGCAAATAGCCAAGACAAGAGAATTAGACCCTACATGACATCTCTTTGCAGCACTTGGTCTTCCTTCTCCAATCTATTCTCTGCTCTTCACTTATCACTTTCCTATCCATGTCACACCTATTAATTGCTTACCTGACATGGAACAGAGATGAAGAGCAGAGATTGTGTGACCAAAGAAGATTGCCTTCCTCACCATTCATTTCATTCATTTGCCTCGTCATTATGTCATGGCTTTTCCAAATACAAACCAGATAAGGTAAGGTGTAGATATAGGTGAGGGCCTGCCCGCTATTAACCTGTGGATCAAGGACTTCCAGCCACTACTTCCTCTGGGTTCTTCTCGTTCCTATGTCTCTCGTCCATACACCTCCATCCTAATAGCGGAGGCTCTTCTATCTACTCCTCACCTGTCAAGGATTTCATTCCTCATTCTAACTCTGTACCTTCCCCTCCTCCTCCCAGCCTCGTCGGTAGGCGGTACATCCTTGAATTCTCGGAGATAGAAGTTAACGACGAGAAGGAAGAAATACCAGATAATTGATGATATGAAAGGAAAGGCTATTACAGATAAAGCATCGGGAAAGAGATAAAGCATTAGGATTCTATCATCCATCTCTTAGGCTTGGAAGCCCTTCATTCATTGTCTTAACAGCATTTGGAATCTTCCTTCTTTTGGATTTCATTCCTAATCTTTTCCTAATATTTGCTTCTTTAGGATTCATTCACATTGCATCTCAAGGAACCAACAATAAGAAAGAGAGAATGGATGATATGAAAGACCGCTAGCCACCTCCTACCTGAGCTGGGATC